AGGACTCAGAGAGACACGAGGAGAGCTGGAGCTTTGATGGAATCAGGACTCAGAGAGACACGAGGAGAGCTGGAGCTTTGATGGAGTCAGGACTCAGAGAGACACGAGGAGAGCTGGAGCTTTGATGGAGTCAGGACTCAAAGAGACACGAGGAGAGCTGGAGCTTTGATGGAGTCAGGACTCAGAGAGACACGAGGAGAGCTGGAGCTTTGATGGAGTCAGGACTCAAAGAGACACGAGGAGAGCTGGAGCTTTGATGGAGTCAGGACTCGGAGAGACACGAGGAGAGCTGGAGCTTTGATGGAGTCAGGACTCAGAGAGACACGAGGAGAGCTGGAGCTTTGATGGAGTCAGGACTCAAAGAGACACGAGGAGAGCTGGAGCTTTGATGGAGTCAGGACTCAGAGAGAGACACGAGGAGAGCTGGAGCTTTGATGGAGTCAGGACTCAGAGAGAGACACGAGGAGAGCTGGAGCTTTGATGGAGTCAGGACTCAGAGAGACACGAGGAGAGCTGGAGCTTTGATGGAGTCAGGACTCAAAGAGACACGAGGAGAGCTGGAGCTTTGATGGAGTCAGGACTCGGAGAGACACGAGGAGAGCTGGAGCTCTGATGGAGTCAGGACTCAGAGAGACACGAGGAGAGCTGGAGCTTTGATGGAGTCAGGACTCAGAGAGAGACACAAGGAGAGCTGGAGCTCTGATGGAGTCAGGACTCAGAGAGACACGAGGAGAGCTGGAGCTTTGATGGAGTCAGGACTCAGAGAGACACGAGGAGAGCTGGAGCTTTGATGGCAAACACTGACGGTTTATTTGGAGTTACGGCCGGAGAATTGACAAGACAGGTGGTGTGTCACGAGTTCACACAGCGGTTACCAAACCAATTCTGAAGAACTCTTTCTGCAGCTCGAGGTTTTAACTAGTTCAGAGTGTAATAATCAACATTCTTCATCAGCGAGACTAAAGCATTATGGACCCTGAATCTAACTAGAGCTCTCGTCCATAGAAAAGAATGTGCGCCAGGGAACCTTCGTCCCTGAACAGTAAACTACCTCATGGCGGCTTGTGCTCTGTCATAGACTGGCAACAACAATACGCCCAAGTTGCCCCTCCTTAAGAGAGATAGCAGCAGAACCCAAGGCCGTACACCTATGCCGTGGGAAAGGAGACAGTGAGAGGAGAAAACGATGAACTGTGTCGAAGGTTGAATACCTAAGCAAATGATTCCCTAACAAGCATAATGTACTTAAAGTATATAAAGCAATCATTGTGCAGGAAAATGACCTTTGTGTGCGTATCAGGGTTTTTTCTAGTATACAGATAATGTAGATAATAGATAATATAGTTTGAGGGCAATACTGTGGTGCTGATCTTGTATAAAAGATACATACATTCTCACGAAAACATGACGCCCGGGCCCCGTATACAAGATGTCTCCGCGGACGTATACAACTACGTGACGTCGGAGCTCCGTAAAAACAAATCTGTCTCTACCGTCTGACGCTCTATTGGACACCATTTTCATATATTTGGAGTAATTCCACCGTTTCTGACGAACAGAAATATTGTTTTCTGGCATCACTTTTACATTTTAGGGGGGAAATCTGCATTGTTGGTATGAGGGCGCAGTGGTTTAGACAAATCCCTGTATAAAATGATATTTAAATACATTTCTATAAATACAATTGTTGCATCAAGGAGCATTTGACTTCTGTAGACAAACAAAGCTCTGAATTTTTGTAAAATATTTCAATAATTGGACTTAAAGCTGTTGAATAAATGGATTAATATGACATAATTTCCCTTTAAATGTGGTGGAGTAGAAGTATAAAGTAATATAACATGTAAATACTCAAGTAAAGTATCTAAAAATTGTACTTAAGTGCAGTACTTGAGTAAATCTACTTAGTTTCTTCCCACCTCTGTATGGGATAACAGTTTTAAAATGTCTCTTTATCATGCACATATTATTCATTGTTTTAAGTATTGAAGGTTTTTTCTGTCTGTCTTCTTACGTGCATATTATCACAGTTTGTTTTCCAGTCTGCTGAATCAGAAGAGGACGTTTTGCAGCCGCTGATAAGTCGTTAATAACTCAGATTAACGAGAAAGAGTTTCTCTTCAGCGCCATCCTAATGAAAGACTCATGAACTCTCCATAAAACATGAGGTAGGTTTTTAAGCATCGCTCATTAGGAACATCCTGCAAACCTTCTCCTCTCTGGAAGTCTCTTTAAATGCAGAGCAGATCAGCATCTGTTTGATTCAACATAAATGTGAACAGTTTGATGAAGGTGCAGCATTGCAGAGGATCATCATCTTACTATCTCAGTCAAATGTATTTAAGGCTAGTTAGCTTAGCTACAGAGAGTCCTTGTGCCAAACAACGTAGGACTAACTTCCTCCACTAAGACCTGAATGTTTCATATTTTGTTTAACCCTCCTGTTGTCTTCGTGTCCCCCCGCCCTTACTTTGGTGTTCACGGTCAAATTTGACCGGTCCTGTTTTAACTGCTATTACATTAACACAAAAACCATTAATCATCACCAAATGTCATTTCACACCCTTTCAAACTGTACATATTGTATCAGACTACTGGTATACATGAACAACTGCAGTAAATATACAAAGAATAGACACTGAACATGTATTGCATGTGCCAGGTGTGATCCATGTGGGGTGTGTGTGTGTGTGTGTGTGTGTGTGTGTGTGTGTGTGTGTGTGGTGTGTGTGTGTGTGTGTGTGTGTGTGTGTGTGTGTGTGTGTGTGTGTGTGTGTGTGTGTGTGTGTGTGTGTGTGTGTGTGTGTGTGTGTGTGTTTTATCTGATCCGGATGGTTACTAATTCCTTTTCTTTATGGACCGGGAACACCATGGGTGTTACAAAGTTGACTAAATCATCCAAAACTCAATGAAAGTGGTGATCAGCAATTGTCTATGTTCAAATGTCTACTGTGAAGGATATCATAAAGCCTTAATGCAATCTAATGTAAAACAAAAAAGTTATGATTGATGAAAGTAGTAAATCGGTCAGATTTGACCCGAAGACAACAGGAGGGTTAATATTACACCTGATTTAAATTCAAGTCACAATAAAGAGTTTTAGACGGAGGTAATGAGCATTGGCGTGGCTTGATTGGTGGATAAACTAAGATATACAAGCCCCAAAAAGGTGCTTTGATAAAGGTCCAGCATTGCAGAGGTGTCATCATCCTCCTGGAGGTAAAGTAGGCCACAGACGGAGTTAACAGAGCGCACAAAGCAGTGAGCTTCCTTCAGTAAAGTGGAACTTTGTGGGAGGATGCGTTTAAAATCAGTGAAAGTGATTGAGCGTGCAGGTGGAGGTTTCTCCTGCCAGAGGATAAACCCATCCACTGGCTTTTCTTGGAAAAAACGGGAGTAGAGTTTGCAAATCCAAAAAGAGAAACTTAGCCCGGGGCGGGATCAAAAAGTTAACCGAAAGAAAGAATCTGCACATGGTGTTAAAAGCTGCCAGATATAGAGTGGGGTACGTCTTTTTGTAGCGTAACCCTGAAGGCAGCATCTCCCTGGTTTACTCTATAAAAAGTAAATGGGATTTCTCCATTTGATTTTGGATTTCTGCAGAAAATAAACTCAAGGTTTATGATACTTACACTTTTTGTTCAGCCGGAAAAACTTCATATATTAACACCACTTTATGATTTCTGAAGTAAAAAGCTAACATTCACGTCACCACCGCTAAGCTAAAGGCGGCTTGGGCTATAAAGGAACTACAGCACGGTCACATTACTTCACGTCACCACCGCTAAGCTAAAGGCGGCTAATGTTGGGCTATAAAGGGAACTACAGCACGGTCACATGGCTTCACGTCACCACCGCTAAGCTAAAGGTGGCTAATGTTGGGCTATAAAGGAACTACAGCACGGTCACATGACTTCACGTCACCACCGCTAAGCTAAAGGTGGCTAATGTTGGGCTATAAAGGAACTACAGCACGGTCACATTACTTCACGTCACCACCGCTAAGCTAAAGGCGGCTGATGTTGGGCTATAAAGGGAACTACAGCACGGTCACATGGCTTCACGTCACCACCGCTAAGCTAAAGGTGGCTAATGTTGGGCTATAAAGGAACTACAAGCACGGTCACATGACTTCACGTCACCACCGCTAAGCTAAAGGCGGCTAATGTTGGGCTATAAAGGAAACTACAGCACGGTCACATGGCTTCACGTCACCACCGCTAAGCTAAAGGTGGCTAATGTTGGGCTATAAAGGAACTACAGCACGGTCACATGACTTCACGTCACCACCGCTAAGCTAAAGGCGGCTAATGTTGGGCTATAAAGGGAACTACAGCACGGTCACATGACTTCACGTCACCACCGCTAAGCTAAAGGTGGCTAATGTTGGGCTATAAAGGAACTACAGCACGGTCACATGACTTCACGTCACCACCGCTAAGCTAAAGGTGGCTAATGTTGGGCGTGATGGGGTCTCATTTAGACACTTGTTAGCAACCGCCGTTTTTGTATTCACCAGTGGGGTATTTACTGACTTATTTTATGTCGTAGAACTGGAATCTCTTCAGCTTGTGTTCACCACAGACCTTATTTTAGGGTTAGGGTTAGTTAGTGTTTAAGTACACCTGAACTTTTGAAAGAACATCCATAACATTAATTTGTCTGCAACTTATATCAATATTCCAATTACTTGTAGACTATTCTGCACTATTTCGACTATATTCTATTTAAATGTATTGTTTTATTGTGTTGCTCTGTTGGAGGAGCCTGTGACCTCAGATTTTCATTGTCATAACTACACTGTAGCTCTGTACACATGACAATAAAGCCTTGAAACTTGAAAAAGTATTTACATGAGGAATCATCTTACTAAATATGTGCTAATTTGCATATTATCAGGGTACAAAAATCTGTGTGCAACTGTGTTTAAATGTAATATTACGCACCTATCGTGGTTCCAAAACCTTCCTCCTCTTCCTCCTCTTCCTCGCCCCCACAGGTCACCTCAGGGGTCCCATCACCAGGGTCTCGGAGTTGAACTCGAACTGGTTGCTGGAGGACTTCCCCCAGGAGTAGAGGCTGGGCGGCCGCTGTTTGAAGGAGCTGGTGTACCGGTAGAAGCTCCGGTGCCGGTTCTTCAGGTACTCCCGGTAGTTCTTGGTGAGCAGCGTGTAGAGGAAGGGGTTGATGCAGCTGTTGGAGTACGTGAGACTCGCCACCAGGTAGTTGATGCACTTCTTCGTCTCAGAAGCCATGTTCAGAGGTTTGTTGACGTACAGATCCAGGAGCTGCCAGATCCAGAAGGGCAGGAAACAGGCCCAGAACACCAGCACGATGGTGAAGATCATGATCAGGACCTTCTGCTTCGGAGACCTCTTCCCACCTCTGTCAGGGAAGAAAATAAATTGTTAATAATTTAGTTTTTGGGGGAAGGGGTGGGATTAAATAAGGTACGTTTATTTACATATACATACACCAAATGGAATAACAGATTCATAAAAACCATGCATAAAAAAGATACAGAATAGTTTAAAAACAACATTGTAAATACAGTAGGTGCTAAAACAAGTGAATAGACTGCTGGGTAAGCAGCTGAAAAAAGTAATGTTTTTAGCCTCGATTTAAAAGAAAAAAGCGTTGGTGAAGACCTCAGATTTTCTCGAAGTTTGTTCCATTTGTGGGGAGCATAAAAACTAAAAGCAGCCTTGGCGTGTTTAGTTCTGAGCCGGGGTACAATGAGTAAGCCCGCCCCTGATGATCTCAGAGCTCTGGCTCGTAACAGAGAAGCATGTACGACATATATTGGAGTCCCAAACCATTTAGTGCTTTATAAGTTAGCAATAACATATTGAAATCGATTCTGTAAGCTACTGGTAGCCAGTGCAGAGATCTGAGAACTGAGGTGATGTGTTCTACTCTTTTTGTTTCGGTCAGGACTCTGGCAGCGGCGTTCTGGATTAGTGGAAGTTTTTTAAGGGATTTTTTACAGAGACCTGTAAAAACACTATTACAGTAATCAAGCCCGCTAAAAACAAAGGCGTGAACTAGTTTTTCAAGGTCTTGTTGAGACATGAATGTTCTAAGTCTGGCTATGTTTTTCAGGTGATAGTATGCTGATTTAGTAATTGTGTTAATGTTGGAAGTGTAAACTTTTCGGATTTGTAATCAGGTAGATCATTTGTTTATATATCATTTGTAAGTCAATCATATTTTTGTTTATCAATGTGTTACTGCTTAAGTTTGTACAGTATCATAATTCTCATGTTTCATTTCATTATTATTATTATTATTTTGTGTTTGTCACGTTCAGAGACAGTAGTCAGAGGCTTTACTCGAGTAAAAGTACCAACACATTCTGGTCAAAATACTTCATTAGGAGTAAAAGTCCTGCATCCAAATCTAACTTATTGCTAGCATTGTTTCTGATAGCAACGTTTCTGATAGGCCACATTTCTGATATTACGTCATATCGGACGCAAATCTGGATCAGCTCCGTTGTAGCCCCGTTTTTAGAGATTTGGGTACGGAGGAAAAGAGAGAGGGTTTTATTTGCTGATGCTGCGTGAGTTCCCCGACACACCGGGGACACATGTTGATGTAGAAAAGACATCAACAAGTGCATTTTGCATGATAGGTCCCCTTTAAGCTGTAGTCGAGAAAATGACATTCTTTCCCTTTAATTGTAGTGGAGTAGAAGTGCAAAGTATCATAAAGTACAAGTAACTCAACATTGCAAGTTTTTCTGAAATAATGTCTATTTAAACAAATGAGGCATTATCTTATTAAATGTGAATTATATATATAAGTACCTCAACAATGGTACTTAAGTACAGTACTTGAGTAAATGTACTTAGTAACTTTACACCCGTCACCTCGGTAAATGATCATGCACATATTATAAATTGTATGGACGTTGTAGTGGAGTTAAATTACATTGCTTCCCTTTTAAATGTACAAGAGTAAAGTAGCATTACATGGAAAAACTAACGTAAAGTACAAGTGCCTCAACAATGGTACTTAAGTACAGTACAGTACTTGAGTAAAGAGTAACTTCCCACCTCTGTTTTTTCATTATTTCCCTTTTAAATGTAGAAGTGTAAAGTAGCATTACATGTTCAGAATCAGGTTTATCTCCAGGTCGGTTGACACGTACGAAGAATTTGACGTAAAACAACAATTAAAAACACAGATAGAAAACTATTTTAAGAAAACTATAATAACATTAAAAAATAAAATAAAAAATAAAATAAAATAGTCAAATATAGCAGTGTTTATATAAAATATGGAATAAAATTGGGCAGTAATAAAAAAAAGAAAACATATTGTGTACATTGTGTGCATTAATGTAATGCATAGAGTCTATGATATGGCGATTAACACCACTATATGTTAATACTAAAGTACAGTAAGTACCTTAACAATGGCACTTAAGTACAGTACTTGAGTAAAGAGTAACTTCCCACCTCTGGACTCTGTGGATCACCGGGTTGCGCGTGGACTCCAGATAAGTGCGCGCCAGCTTCACGTACAGGTATCCGATGATGAGTCCCGGGGCCATGATGCTGGTGCCAAACAGCACCGTGACGTACACTTTGTAAGCCAGGGGGGCCAGAGCGGGCGCGCAGATCCGCTTCACGCCCCCCCCGTGCACGCGCTGCTGGGTCTGCGACACCATCACCATCATGGGCACGGACAGGAAGAGGGACAGCAGCCAAACCCCCCACGCGAGAGCCTTCCTGTAGCTCTTAGACCTCCTCACGGTGTCCAGAGGCTTGGTGACGGACAGGTAGCGCTCCGTGCACATCACCGTGAGCGTAAAGATGCTCGCGTGCATGGTGAGCAGGTCCAGGCTCAGCAGCACGCGACACCCCACGTCCCCGAAGTACCAGTCCTTCAGGAAGTATGTGACCACCACGAAGGGGATGGTGGAGAGGTACAGCAGGTCTGCGAGCGCCAGGTTGATGATGGAGATGTACATGGCGGTGGCGAAGCGGATCGAGTGGCACATCACCACGAGCGTGTACACATTCCCCACCACCCCGATGATGTACACGAGGGAGAGCAGCGTCCCGAAGGTGGAGGTGATCAGCAGGTCCGGATCCGCGTGAGTCCCGGATGTGCTGTTGTTCATGGCTGCAGAGTCTCTCTCCAGTCTCTCTCCTTATCTTCCTGCGCTCTGTGTACGGGAAGTTTTGGGTAAAAGATGCGCGCGGGCACAGGTTGCGTCTCGCTGCTTGCTCTCTACTGCGCTTTTCTCCTGACGTCACTGCTGTAACTCTCACACTGAGGATGTTTTATATATCACAACAAAATAAAGAAGATATATATATTGAAAGATATGTGACCGTCTCTCAAGTGAAGCTGCAAGGAATTAAACATAAAAGGAGAGAGATGGGAATTAAATAAGATAAAAGTTTGGGGCACCTGATGGCACAGCAGGAACACAATAAACGTCCAAGTCACTTTTACGCATAGCTCTGGATTAATTAAGGGGGAAATACACAATTTAACTAATATATATCACGATGAAACTTCCCCAGGTCATTACTGATAATGAGACAGTTATTTTGTTCATGCATGTCCCTGATGCAGGAACAAAATAAACTGGGGAAATACACAACCAATCAAATCACTTTTACGCACAGATTAGCATAAATCACACTACAGGTGAATAGGGTAAACATTTAAACAAACATATATCACCATGAAACTTCCCCACTTCACTACTGACATCAAAACAATCATTTCGTGTATTGCAAGTTGTCTGAAATATTTCCCTCTAATTTCTCTAATGTCTAATTATGCAAATTAGGCCAAACTCATTAAATATGCGCACATTTGCATCATCATCCGGGACAGAAGTCTAGCAGCAGCAGTAAATATGGTAAAGCTGCAAGAAATATGTGAGCAGGGGGTTTGGAGAGATGTGATTATGAAATAAACAAACGTTTGGTGAGCACTGAGGCTGCACGTGAGGCACAGCAGGAGCAGAATAAACGTCAAACCGACGTCAGGTCACTTTATGCACAGATCTGCATTAATTAAGGAGAGACAATCATTTTAACTTAAACATATCACTATGAAACTTCCTCAGTTTATCACTTATATAAGAACAAATATTTTTTGTATTGCAAGTTTTCTAAAATAGTATGTTTAAATATGTAAATGAGGCTTTATGTCATTTTATATGTGCACAGATTTCCATTAATCACACTACAGGTGAATGGGGTAAACATTTAAAAATAATAGCTATCATCATAAAACTTCCCAAGTACATTACTGACATTAAAACCATTTTTTATTGTATTGCAAGTTTTCTGAAACAGTATGTCTAATTAAGAAAAGGAGGCATTATCTCATTAAGTATGTGCTAATTAGCATATCATCCGGGACAGAAATCTGTGCATCTGTGAACTTGGTGAAGCTGTAAGAACCTTTTACGTTATGTTAAAATATGCAAATTAGGTGTTATGTAAGGGTCAATTTAGGACTAATCTGCAGACACAAAGTCAGTAATATATACTCCTAAATGTGTATTTTGGATGTTTTTTTCCATTAATGTATAAGACGAAACGCTATGGAAGCAAAATAGCCAGAAATCTCAACATGTCTCTGCATAAAAACACATTTGAGCTTACAGTGTTTCACCTTATTCTCCAGTCCCTTGGTGCAAATGAGACCGATAAGGACGCATTGAATTTGCATAATGAATCTGTTCTCACCCTATAGACGGCGAGAGCTCCTGATTCTGCAGCTAATGGCCTCTCTTTGTGTCTCCAGCTCAACACTATCATGATCGTTCTGCAGGAAAATCACCTGAAATGATTCAAGATGATTATCATTTGATGCAAAGATGAGTTTCAAATGCCAGCGTTACCGAAATATCATTTACATCACTCTAGAAATACATGCCTGCTGCTTCAGATCAGAAAACCAGTTCACAGACAACATTATAAATATATTGACTAGTGAATATACAGTTAAAATATATACATTTAAATACATTACATATTTTAGATTACTTTTCTAACAAATGCTTTCATAAATATAAAGTCATAAAATACAGCGTACAAAAGTATTCAACTTTAAGTATACAAAGTCATTCAAACTAGCTGCACCTTTACCAGCTTTGAGAACACTTTCATGATCAATCATTATAAAACATATCATATATATTATTCTGAAATGGACCAATCTGCACAATGACTACTTTTACTGTCGCTACTTTCACTATATTTTGATGATAATACTTTTCTACTTTTACTTGAGGAACATTTTGAATGCAGGACTTTTACTGTAACAGAGTATTCCTACACTCTGGTACTTCTACTTTTACTCAAGTACAAGATCTGAGTACTTCTACTTTTACTCAAGTACAAGATCTGAGTACTTCTACTCTTACTCAAGTACAAGACCTGAATACTTCTACTTTTACTCAAGTACAAGATCTGAGTACTTCTACTCTTACTCAAGTACAAGACCTGAATACTTCTACTTTTACTCAAGTACAAGATCTGAGTACTTCTACTCTTACTCAAGTACAAGACCTGAATACTTCTACTTTTACTCAAGTACAAGATCTGAGTGCTTCTACTTTTACTCAAGTACAAGATCTGAGTACTTCTACTTTTACTCAAGTACAAGATCTGAGTACTTCTACTTTTACTCAAGTACCAGATCTGAGTACTTCTCCTTTTACTCAAGTACAAGATCTGAGTACTTCTACTTTTACTCAAGTACCAGATCTGAGTACTTCTCCTTTTACTCAAGTACAAGATCTGAGTACTTCTACTTTTACTCAAGTACAAGATCTGAGTACTTCTACTTTTACTCAAGTACCAGATCTGAGTACTTCTCCTTTTACTCAAGTACAAGATCTGAGTACTTCTACTTTTACTCAAGTACCAGATCTGAGTACTTCTCCTTTTACTCAAGTACCAGATCTGAGTACTTCTCCTTTTACTCAAGTACAAGATCTGAGTACTTCTCCTTTTACTCAAGTACCAGATCTGAGTACTTCTACTTTTACTCAAGTACCAGATCTGAGTACTTCTCCTTTTACTCAAGTACCAGATCTGAGTACTTCTCCTTTTACTCAAGTACCAGATCTGAGTACTTCTCCTTTACTCAAGTACAAGATCTGAGTACTTCTACTTTTACTCAAGTACCAGATCTGAGTACTTCTACTTTTACTCAAGTACAAGATCTGAGTACTTCTACTTTTACTCAAGTACCAGATCTGAGTACTTCTACTTTTACTCAAGTACAAGACCTGAGTACTTCTACTTTTACTCAAGTACAAGATCTGAGTACTTCTACTTTTACTGAAGTACCAGATCTGAGTACTTCTACTTTTACTCAAGTACAAGACCTGAGTACTTCTACTTTTACTCAAGTACCAGATCTGAGTACTTCTACTTTTACTCAAGTACAAGATCTGAGTACTTCTACTTTTACTCAAGTACCAGATCTGAGTACTTCTCCCATCTCTGTTGATTAGCACAGCTTTAAAAAAAGAAATCTCCTTTGCAAAAGAAACAAATCATTTGGATCAGAGACCCTTTGTGTAAACTGTGTAACACATATCTGGCCTCTGCACATCCCATAATACACACACCTCTAACAACTGTGAGCATATTGTATTGTGTTTGTCACAATGCTTCATCTGAACCTCTCTTGTTATCAGCAGAACGACAGCTTATTATTTATTATTCCTCTTTGACAACCGGCTTTTGTTCGGATTCAAATGTACCTCTGTGTTATTGTCCTCAAAGTGAGCTCCAATGTTCCTGCTGGAAATCATGTAGCATCTTATCCAATCTGTGTGTGTGTGTGTGTCTGTGTGTGTGTGTGTGTGTGTTGAAAACAGACATAACAGAAGCAGATGTGACAGTGGGTCACAGTGTTAACGGTCCCCCTCGCCCTTCCCCTGCACTTTCAGCCCGATTAAATGACCGTTTATTTATGGCTGCAGCGCGTGAGCTGGGACTCAAATTGTGAATGATGAACACACACACACACACACACACACACACACACACACACACACACACACACACACACACACACACACACACACACACACACACACACACACACACACACACACACACACACACACACACACACACACACACACACACACACACACACACACTGTGTGCCGGTGTGATGGATGCAGTCTGAGGACACCGACTGCCTGTGGAATATTCCTGGATCAGATGATTGCTGCCTCTGAAGAAAAGTCGATGTATGAAAACATAGGAGCAGCGGAAGTGAGAAAAAAAAGAGAATACAAGAAAAAAGTTATGATTATTAAAGGGGACCTATCATGCAAAATGCACTTTGGTACGTCTTTTATACATGAATATGTGTCCCCGGTGTTCCAGGGAACTCACCAAGTGTCAGAAAACACAACCCTCTCTATTTTCCTCCATACCCAAATCTCTAAAAAAAGGGGCTGCAACGGATCTGATAAAAACTGATCCAGATTTGAACACTGTCCTGACGTCAGGACGGTGGCGCTACGGCTATTGGGCCAACTCCACCAATCAGGAGGAGACAGCCACGGCCATTGCCGTTCGAAAGCGCTGGAGACGATGTAGTACATATGCCAGGCCAGTAGATGGTGCTGTTCTCACAGAATCTGACCAGAGCTAGAAAATGTCAAATTGAGCAAAATGAGGCATGGCTAAAATGCATGATCTGTTTGGTATTTTGAAAAAAAAAAAGTATAAATATGCCTTATATAGGTATGGTCCTACACTATATTATTCAAATATAGCATGATAGGTCCACTTTAAAGAACATTTAATAACGCATGCGCCATATGATGGAAATGTTAAAGGTCTAAATTCTGTTTCTGAGTTCAGGATTAATAAAACATATGTAACAGATTACATTTAAAAAATAAAAGTCATTAACAGAAAAAACTGTGTGTTTATGAGGCTAATCTTTTATTGTGGTAAGAACATTACCTTTCAATGCATGTGGTTTCCATGTCCTGCTTTATTTTGAAAGAGCACTCACTTGTCTGGTGTCACTTCCTGTCTTTGTGTGTTTTCCCACCTTTCTGTGATTGTTTGCCCCAGCATTTTGCATTAGCATTTTGCTTCTGGAGATTAGCAGGGT